ACTAAAACACATCTGGGATCTGCTCCTAGATTCCCCCAAGCAGTAGAGATGAGACAGGACCCAACTGCTGTGTACCTAAAGGGGAGTCTGGGGGATGCAGACGGATGCTGTAATTCTCACTCTCAGGCTCCCAGCCTGGGCTGGCATACAGGATCAATCTGGCATGCAGTTGCATGTCAGTCAGCCAAGGCCTCCTCAAGGATCTGGAGACTTGGCAGTGGGAGGGTGGTGGCAGTGTTAATTGCTATGGCTCTGGGTGGTTGTAGAAGCCACAACAATTAATGCTACCACTGCACCCCCTGCCATCAAAGCTGTGGACCTCTGGCAATCCATCTTTTTCACATATAATACACGCCCAAATTTCCCCTAGCTGGTTTAGGGGAAAATGTGTGCGTTATGTGAGGAAAGTATGGTACTTCTCAAATACACTCATTTGTAGTGAGACTAATGTGGTATCACCACCATCAATGAAATGATTCTGGTGCATACCATTTTCTGAATCCCTTCCTAATGAGATTTCATAGATGAAAAGAGAGCCTAAAGTTTCATGACTTCCTATTCCAGCCAGAATGAAATGATGCATCTAAAAAGGAGAATATGCAATTCAATCCGTCTCCTCCTAATTTTTCAGGAACCACTACTTTCAAACTTGTCCTTATTTCAGCTAGTGGTAACATCATGTTAACCTCTTCAATACTGCACAAATTTAATGTTAAATAGTCTTAATTTCATCTAGGCTACTTACATACAGTAGTGAACGGTAACTCAGATTTGTAACTGGTATTCAATGCATAAATTACTGGTATTCTATCCATAAATTACAAATACAAATAAAGGTGCCTGTCTTCAGTGAGGAAAGTACACATCTTTGGTAAGCATGGACACAATACAGGGAATTTGCTTCTTTGAATCAAACTCTGTTCGATTTGAACACGAGCTAAACTCTGCCACCTTGCGATTTACACGTGTTAAGATCTGCATAAGCTCAAGATTCTTTGCATGCTGTTTCAGCATTGTACATAGTGACTGAATAAACCAGGAGCCCACAGCTGAGTTTCTCCAGGAGTAATAGCCTGCAGAAGTGGGATACATAAAATTTATCAGAGTCTTGCAAAATGTGATGGAACAACAATTGTGGAAAGTATATTTTGATCATAAGAACAATCTTTCACCAAGCATTTAAACACAAAGGTTTCTAAATAAATGGCAACACACCAATCCCAATATGTTTTCAATTAGGGCGGTCAATTAATTGCAATGAACGCCTGCGATTAATGCGTTAATTGGTTTAACATGCGTTAATCCCGGCTGCGTACTTGCCTGCGTGCTGGGAGAAAGGCAGCCCCTCCTCCCATGCTGCTGCTCAGCCAGAGAGACACACACACACAAACACACACACACACACACACACACACACACACACACACACACACACACACACACACC